ATTTCCCGTTTGATCTCGACTTCTCCCTCATGGCAGCCTTCTTCGCACTCAGCCGCACTCCTGCACCGCACTCACCACTGTGAATGCAAGAGTCATCATTCTTTGGAAGGAGTTATGTGCTATTTGTAAGCCGAATGGTAGTTTTAATACTTCTGAAGTTCTTTGCGAATTTTTTTCTTCATTTGCATTATAAACCTCGTAATAATGCAACGATTCGCTTTTTATATTTGTATTTATATACAATAGCGTATTTATTTGTTGTTGTGTACTAATCGAATCATTGCACTCATAGTGTTTACAAGTGCGCTTGCAATTATTAATCCAGGTTGCAATTGGTAATTAATTGGCAATTAAGACATGCGTGTCTTTTGAAAAAATATTGATCTTTCGCATCACTTCAAATCTTGCAGGCAAAACCATTTCTTTTTCGAGTGAATGTATTATAGGAATGGGCATGTTCCTGAAATTATTGAGTCTTACTGTGAGACAATCTTCCTGGTCATGGAATTCTAAAATACAATTGTATTTCTTTATAAAATCTACAACAATTATACCATCAGCTGGTATAGGAAAATTGTCAGGTGTGATATGGAATTCATATGGGATTGCTGTATTTCCAACGCACATATCTACTTTGACAGTACCTAGAGAATGTATTGTCCCTTGCCCAATGCCTATTATATTAGTGATTTCCCACGTATTTAAATTATTTAATTTAATATTTCTGCATTCGAGCAGTGATATATCTGCACCTGTATCTACTAGTAGAGTAACCGTTATATATTATTTCTTATATTTCTCATATTTCTTAATTTAATAAAATATTTTTCCATGTAAATATTTCGTACGTTATTAGTTCGATTATTTTGATAGAAATTTCTGTTATGTCCATAATCCTAATTTTGGTTTCCTCTTTACTAACCTGTACCTCTTGTAATATGTGTAGCAAGTACACACTGTACAACCTGCAACATTTTGTTACAACATTAACACAAAAGCCTGACCATAAAGTTGACAGGCTGGCAAAATGTATGTGAAGTGCAAGTGCGCATAGATACAAGCATACACTTCTGCGGGCAGCGCATCCGCGACCGATTTGATTTTAAACTCACTCAACATTTATTCTTCAAAAAAAATTCTTTTCCTAATAAAGAAACATCAAACTATAATCAGAAGTGTTATAATTCGATTAAATGGAACCTGCTAGATTCACTAATTATTATTATCTAATGTGAATCTAAAACATGGCGACCGTGACAATTCTGTGATATGGAAGCAGTACATTATCTTCAGTTTTTGTGGTCTCTCTATGAAGCAAATCATAATGGAGCAAATTAACACTAACTTCTGCATTCATTCTGCATGCCGCTTGCTAAAACAAACTACCCCGTCGTTTGGCTTCATGATATCTTTGCAGCGGCGTAAAAAATTTGAATTTCGGAAAATCTTTTAAACAGTGCGAGCCTGGACAACTATAACACGCATTTGTAGCTAAACTAGCTCTTCTTGTTACTCTCTTGTCACCTGTACATTCTGAAATAGCCTTTCAAACCTCACGATTAGATTAATTCTTTTCCCTATTACTAAGAAATTGTGGCAGAAACTCCCAAGACGGTAGCTTGGAGCATTCATAATCGCCTTCCCACTTTTCTAGTGTTAAATCATCTAACTCCGGCTCAGATGAAACATGAACGCATACAAAATTTCCTTACCATTGCCTAGGAAGAGAAGCGAAACTAATTGCGAGTTTATGGAGTCCACTAACATCCTCAACGAGTATACATCTGCGTGTTTGTTGAACAACTAACAGATATCCGCTTGAATAATAATTGCTAATACTAATAATTGAGAGGATGAATCTCGGAATCCTTATTTTTCTTTGGAAAATAATTGCTCAATTGCTAATTGCTCTTATTGCTCAAACACTTTACTTTACTTTACTTGGGCTATGTCGGAACAAACAATTAATTAGGCTTTTAATTGGATTATGAAAAATCAAAGTTGTCCCACTGTGCCTGCGCCTCCGCGCCAAATCTGTAATACCTATGTACAAGCAAAGACACTAAAATAATAAGATGCGTAACGGCCATACATTGGTTTTGCACTATGCAGTCACTTTTTTGGAGGCGGCAAAATTTGCACTCTCCCCGCTCGCGTGAAATTGAGAATACAGTTGCTTGTGTGAGTGAAAACAGTAAGCAAAGTGTGTTTTCGGAAGTAGTAAATAGTAAGTTTTCGGTCCGAAATCAATTTTGATCTATTAAACGAATTTGATTAATGCTTTGGTCAATTTCGTTGTAATATAATATTATTTAAAATGTTGGTGACGGCTTTTATTTTACTTTTGTAATTATTGCTTTTCGATATATTTTATGTATATATATTTATTTTCAGTCGTCAATTATTTAAATATTTTTTAACATGTGGGAATTTTAACTAATTTTTTCATTATGAGATATATAGAATGCACTTGCAATGCTTAATAATTACAACTTTTATGAGTTTGTTAAAAGATCAATTTGATGCACATAACATTCATTATTTGTGCACTTAATGCATTGCTCTACAACACAGTTGTTTTTTCTTATTTTTTAAAATATTCAAAACCTTTGATGTGTATTTTGAAGATATTAAAAAAAACAGATGGTGCCTTTAGTTTTCCAAAGTCCGATTCTATCGTGTAGTTTTTCTCATGTATGAGAGCTCATGAAGCTGTTAAATGATTCATTTACAACTTGGATCCCTTAGCATAAGGTATCATTACCAGTAATTAGGTATCATTATGTACATTTATTCATCTTTTACTATTTCTATGCTGTATTCGAATAATTATGTTAAGACAATGCTAAACTAAGGGTTTTTACATGGTGGCAATCGATCAAAAATAATATAGATTGGATTCATTAGATTCATAGATTCATTAACTTGTAAAATGAAGTGCATATTTTGTCAAATTTACAATACACACATATACAGTGGTCCACCTTCGCTGTATGCGTAAAAAAAAGCTGCTGGCTCTAGAACGCTCTCTCTCTCTCTGGCTCTTGAGTACAAATTTGAGAGAGCCTGGAGCCAACACAATAAAATCGGCGACGATACCAGGACAGGTTATGTGTGGAGGAAGGACGACCAAAGTGTGCTGTCAGTTATGTCACTCGTGTTATACGTATATGGCGCTTGGTCAGCGTTGAGAAGATGAGTCATAACGGAATTTCATGCAGGAGTATATCAGAATAATGCGCGTCGAAAAAATACGATCAAGGATTGGTCGCGGTGGAAAGTGAAAGGATATGGTAATTTCCTCAATTTTGAGTCCAAAACCCGAAAAAGCAGGAAAGATTGTGTTTGATTGTGAGTGAAATCCTTTCTTAATCTTTTATGGTACAAAAATATTAAAGAAACACACATTCCAGAAGCCTCTGATATTTGTTCAAGATTTACATGTTACGGTTTCTTAGGGATCTTTTTATCAAGTATAATCTGACCGGCTCTGTCTAACAACCCCAACCCTCCTTATCGCTTTGCAAATTTTTCCAAACGCTGTTATTCATATGAATAAATTAGGTTTTCCATGTGTTTTGATTAATTGTTGACTATTAACACCCTTCAGTACCAATCCCGAACTATTCCTTAAGGAAGTCCTATTGGAGTCCGCAGGAGTCCCCAAAGAATCCTAGGAAATTTTCCATACAAAGAGGCGAGGAATTTTCATACAATGGGGAGAAATACCCGAGGACTTGCTGAGGAATATACAAAAAAAAAAAGCAAGGTATTTCCCGAGAAGTTCCTTGGGGAATTTCGAAAACAAATGCATGAAAAATCCTCGGGATTTATTCTACAATTCATTAAGTTTTCTTAAGGATTTCCTCTAGAATTCTTCGGGACTTCCTAGGAAATTGCTTGTCGACGAAACTAGTATACTATTTTTTACGCTACGAGTGACGGGAAACCATACCTTCTGCATCCTCTTCAAAAGAATCTTCTTCAATTGATATGTGTTCTTTTACATAAAAATAACTATCTCGCCTTTTATTCCAAAGCGTATATCCCTTCAACTTCAGAACACTACCTTCTAACCTTAGAGGATCAACGTCCACTCAAATTTCACTATCTTCAACAACCTTCCAATAAATTTATTGTAAGATTTGTGTCGTCTCTCGTAGAAATCTCTGAGCAGCTTGTAAATAGTTCTCTTAAGAAGAAACCGGATAACCGATTTCTTAATCGTCTCTTTTACATGAAGTAAACCGTAAAAATTGTATAAAACACTTTCTTACTTTCTCCAAAAAAAATGTGATATTATTCCCGAATAAACCCACCATATGGTTGGGGTATTATTTATGTTTTGAGTCTCGGTGCAACTGAGAGGAAAGCAACGTGTAAGCCTAATGCAGCTAAAGAAATAAGAAATATTGGTAATCATGAATTGTATCTTTAAGAGCTTCAATACCAGTGTATAATAAAAATTGTCTAAACTCCGAGGCTTTCCACTGCGGCAAATCATCCAACGTTTTTGGTTTTCGAGCAAACACTTTTTATCGATTGCAAACATTCGGATATTTGTTGTTCCCTTGGTATGGAAACCATATATTCTTGCTCTATTTTATTTTCAACTATTCCTTTTACAAATTTTCTCATAACACACAATTTAAAAAGGCGAATGCAATCTAGATGTATTTTAGTTACCATTAGAACCAAAAGTTCTAAAGCGAACTGAACAGTTAAATAGTGTACTTTATGATGGCTACGGTATGTCCCGTTACTAATGTTTTCAGCTGTAATCAATTCATCAAAAAAACGCGCGCCTAAAAAAATTGATTTATAAACATTGCGTTAAAAACCAATGCTAGATTTTGGCTAAATTGCTATATGTTTCTAAGTGCGATATTTTTAAAGATTTAAAGTCCAATTTTGTCAAATTTATTATAAATTATACATTTAGTATTGTAACGAGCGGGTTGTTGTCCAGGAATAATTTAAGCAAAAACCTATAGTTTCTAATCGATAGCTAAGTGGTATGATGATCGATACCGATGAGTAAGAAGAAGAGGAGATTGAAAAGGCACGCGTAAGAAAGCGCACGCAAAGTTTTGTAAAAGCCAATGTCAATTTAGTGAATGTTACCCTCTTAGCAACAATAATCACGCCACCAATCGAGGAGCCAGCCATTCTGTTATTTTTTACAGTTCAGAGTGTAAGAGTTCAGTGTAAGAGGCAGCAACAGTATGAGAGACACGGAAAAGCAGAGGCAGCAGAAGAGTCGTCGGCGTGGGAAGATTGTAATGGGATAAGTGTTCTCAAAAGTCTAGAGGACAAGAGATTACAAATTACGGATAAGGCTTTCCTTTCCTACATGGCTGATATATTCAAAGCGGAGTACTCAGGAATCTTAACGAAGGCGGCTGCGATTTCACAACTACAACAGAAAATGACAGCTGAAAAACATGATGGCACAGTTTGTCAATAATATGCCAACAGCTAATCAGCAGCAGCAGCGGCAGCAACGGGAAGATGAAATTGACATAGATGATTTTCTCAACCGTAACCCTGGAGATCAAGCGGCGATCAATCATGGTAGACAAGCGTCGGTTAAGGAAATTGCGAATACCTTACCAGATTATGACCCCGGAGATGACAATTGACATCGATCGTGTCAACAAAGTGGTAGATGCGTATCAATGGGACGAAAAATTTGTACTTCTTGCTATATATACAAAGCTGAAGTGCCCCGCCAACATGTGGCTCGATTCCTCGCAGATTTTACACACAACATGGAACAGTTTAGCAGCAGCAATAAGAGAGGGATTCGGATCGGAGCCGGACGAGGCAGAAATTAATTTCAACATGGCAAATGCAACCAGACGATCGAAGGAAACCGTAAAGGAGTATTGTTTCCGTATGTCAGCACTTAGAGTCCGATTTAAGCTTAGTGAAGCTGCAATTATCCGATATGTTAGAGCGGGTCTACAGCACAGAGAGTTGCAAAACAGTATTGCAGCCATTAATTTTTCGTCGATGAAGGAGTTTCGGGACTCTACCGAGGCATATTTTATAAATAGAGGGAGGCCCAATACAAATAAGAAAGAGTTCTTACCCAAATCCAGTACTTTTGAGGTAAAGCTGGAAACTGAGATGAAGCAATCAAAGCAAAGAGAAGCTAGAGCATGCTTCAATTGCGGAGATGTCGGGCATTTTGCTTATTCATGCCCAAAGAAAAGGAAAAAAACGCGTTCCTCCAAATGCAATAAGATTCATGCCACCGATGTAATTTGCCAAGCCGCACAGGTGATGCGTTTGGGCGTATCCAATCAGGACAAGCTGTTCACACGTTTAATCCACATCAACGAGAATGGCTATAACGCTTTCATTGATACTGGAAGCCAAGCCAGTATAATTTGCAAATCAATTGCGGACCAGATCGACGCAGATCAACAGGAGTGCTTAATTAAAATTGTGGGCATATAAGAAGGCTCACGTATCCTTACCGAAGCTATGGTAGTGGATATCGAAATCGCTGGAAAAATGGTGACAGCCATAGCTTAGATCGCCAACGACAATCTGTTGCAGGAAGATTTGTTGTTGGGACAAGATGTCATCACATGCGCTGAATTTTTGTGGAAATTCGAGCCAAGCGAGATAGAAGTCAAGAGAGCAGTTCATCAGCCGGTAACACGTTCAACCGAGAGTATTTTTAAAAACCTTCTTGTTAATATTCAGAAAAAAGAACTGAAAAAAGTATGCAGTTTGCTCGGAAAGTTTGCAGACGTTTTTTCCACAGGTTTGGAAGGCACAAACGTCGTCCAAGTGGCCAAGTAGTTTCTCAAGCACCATACCGAGTCTCCAAGCCGAAGAAGGAAGTTGTTGCCAAGATGGTCGACAAACTATTAGAGCGAGATATTATTACTCCATCCAGAGTACGGCAACCCGGTGGTGCATATCAAGAAGAGGGACGAGAGTGATCGACTTTGCATAGATTACCGCCGCCTGAACAAGCTGATCAGAAAGGAAAAAAAAGTTACGAGCTAGAAGCCTTAGCCGTCGTCGAGTCGTTGGAACGATTTAAATACTACATTTATGGAAAAATGGTAAAGTTATTACTGATTGCAATGCTTTAAAAACGTCCATGGAAAAACGAGAGCTGATACCGCGAATTGCAAAATGGTGGTTGCGAATACAAGAGTTTAACATCGATATTGTACATAGAGCAGGAACTAAGATGTGCCACGTTGACGCGTTAAGTAGAGCGCCAGTTGAAGAATCACATGAGATTACAGCATCCCTGAAGATCTCAAAAACAATCATAGATGAAGCTGTCTGGTTGTTTGTCATACAACTACAAGACGACAAAATTCAGAAAATAGTTGCTGATATGAAAGCCGAAAAGCTATGTGATCGAGCAAGATCGCCTGTTTCGTGAAGCATATACTCAACTAGTAAAGGACAAAGAAAGTACAAATCGAATTATTTTGTCAATGCTTTTACCTTCATATGAAAACAAGAAACGTTGGGACGAAATGCTGCGATCAATCCAGTGGAGCATTAATACCATGGCAAATAGCACTACTAAATACACCCCATTCCAGCTTCTACATATATGGTTATGAGCCCCGAGATGTCCTTAAAAACACGCTGACGAGCGTGATTAAGATCAAGGCATGATGACTGATGCCGAATTAGAGAAGCTCCGTGCTGATGCTGCGACCACTGTTAACGGCCACAGAGCAGAAGAGATACGACGCCATCCATTCCAAGCCAACTGTCTATAGCCCTGAAGACATTATCTTGGTCGAGAACGAGCAGTTTACCACGCGCACGTCGCGCATATTACAGCCGCGATACAAAGGTCCTTTTATTGTATCTAAAGTGCTGCGCAACGACCGACATCTAGATATGCAACATGCTCAACAAAAGCAGAGACACTATAAGTCCGTGTATTCATCAGACAAGATGAAACGCTTGTGCGAAATTCCCCCCGATGAACCAGATGAAGACGACGAAGAGGAAGACGACCCAGATCGATCACGCGAGAACGCTGTGATCGTCAGGAGAGGCCGAATGTAACGAGGGGGTTGTTGTCCAGGAATAATTTAAGCAAAACCATATAGTTTGTAATCGATAGCTAAGTGGTATGATGATTGATACCGATGAGTAAGAAGAGGTGATTGAAAAGGTACGCGTAAGGAAGCGCACGCAAAATTTGGAAAAGCAAATGTCAATTTAGTGAATGTTACCCTCTTAGCCAACAATAAACACTCCACCAATCGAGAAGTCAGCCATCCTGTAATTTTTTACATTATACATTAGCATACGTGTGCACACATACAGTGATCGACTGATCGACTGGCTCTTGAACCAAAAATCGAGAAGGCCTGGAGCCAGCTCTAGAGCCAGCGCACAAAAAATTGTGGCCAAAAAAATCGTATGGCGTTACGTATCTTGTTATTCTAATGTCTTAGTTTGTACATATGTTATTTTCTAACTCAAATAACAGACACTGTAAATTAAAAAAAAATTGTGAAAGAAAAATACTAAAGCCCTAATGCATTTTTTTTGGTAAATTTTAATTTACATATACATATATGCGGCTATTATTTGTTTACGATTCCTGTAGTTGTCAATAGCAACGCTCGCACCGTAAGGAAGTAAAACATTTTTACAATTACATTAAGATGGAAGAACTTCAGAAAGCTGGTGTGTTCATAGATGAAATCTACACGGTGCGAGTTGAGCATCCAAACTTTTCCAGTAGCAAAATAATGTTTAAACAAGAATGCTATAATTACAACAAAGCATTCACCATTTTTAAAAAGTTTGTGTTTAATTATTGTAATATATCTAAAATCTTTGCAAAAGATGTCGATAAGGAAAAACTACGCGCTATTGGTACTCAAAACCAATTAAAAACCGTATTTATTCAGCGCCAGAGTAAGCAGCAAGTCTATCAATATGAGATATTTGAGCAAACAATAGAACTAGAACGCTTAAAAGCCGAATTGCAGTTTTTACAGCGAATTGAAACTGAACAACATGAAATAATAAACAGTTTTTTTGTCAATCAATATTAAAATGAAATCCGATTACAAAGACGTTTTTCTTATTTGGTTGATATTGTGTAAAAGGTTCTTACGATAGCATGTAAGACTGCATAATGGAACTTTTGTGGTTGAACAATTATATGTCTTTCGGTTTTGACATCCGCTTACATAGCACACCTGTGAAAGGGGCGGTGTACGAGGAATTTGTGCCTTTAAAGGAAATTCGTAACCTGTGGGAACTATTACGTAGTTGCCATTTATAGCGCTTATATAGGTTATTTTTGGATGAGAAGGCTGATGATGAGAAGACTTATTACGAATTGAAGTGCGGTCCCTGTTGGGTGCCTGTTTTTTTAACAAGCGCTCCATTGTCTTTAGTTTATCTTTCTCTCGCCGTTCGTCAGCTTGTTGCTTTCGTTTTTGAGATTTTAGAAGAGCCTTATGAATTTCCTCTGCAGTCTGCGGCTTTTCCTTTTCTTTATAACCACTTGGAAGAGCAATTAGCTCTTCTAAAAAGCCATTTATCTCCGAGTCCTGTGTCCTTTCATAAATAGCACGTTGACGAGCTGTCATAAGTTTGGGATCTTTTATCTTTTTTAGTTCCTCGTCAACAACGTCCAATTTCCCAGTTTCTATTGCAGTAAGCCACCTATCTTCTTCACTGGACGTATCACTGTTGCGTCGTTTTTTAACTTTTTTTGCGCCAGTGTGAAGCAAAGTGGCATCGTGAGTCGATTTTTTTGTGCAAATATTTCTCGTGCGTTTAGGCGGATGTTCATTGCACGCAAGCACGTCCGTGCTGTAATGAAGTTCTTTAGGTGTCAAAGACTTTGAAATAGACTCAGCAGGAAAGTACTCTGCATTAGAAGGGTGCTTCGGCATCGATCCTTTAAATTAATAACGTTACTTTTTTAACAATTACGTTATGATTATTATAGTTACCTTCTTTCATTTTTTCAATAAAAATTCTTAATATGAACTTTTTGCGGTCAATATATTTGTTGTGTAAGACTAGATTAAACAATATTTTGTTTATTGCATTTCAATTTATTAAAGGACCGACCACCCACCATCTGCAATGATATTACTATAGAGTGCGATGTTAATAGCCTAATTCCACATACAACATCTCTGTGAAACAAAGTGAAATCTTTCTTATTTATTGTATGAAAATTGTACAAATTTTTAATTTACTGTAAAATAAAATATCAACAAATGTAATTGTGTAGAACATAATTTTGTACTCCCTTAATGTCTTTAAATATTGAACAAAAAAATCAACTGATACTTGATGAAATGACAAGAATGCCCCAAAAATGCAATTTTAATATACAGTAGAATCCGGTTATAACGACTGCGCTTATAGCGTCAGTCCGGTTATTGCGACGGAAACTAGATGGCTTGGTTGGTCTCCATACGAAGTTATATGTAAGGACCTCCGGTTAGAACGTCTCTGCTTTTAGCGACAAGCCGCTTATACCGACGAGATTTTTTATAATTCAACCGAATATTGCGACATGCCAAAAAAAAAAAAAAACAGAAAAATATTTACATTTATTTACAGTAATTATTTAAAGTAATTACAAAAAAAATCACAAAAATGTTTTCAGCGTGCGTGTGCCTATATTCCATGAGATGTACCGTTATATTTCTATTTTTTTCTGCTTTTTTCCAATAAAACTTAATGCGTAAATTCGCCAAATGTGAGTTAATGCACTGAATGCGCATGATGAGCTCATTTAGTTTAGGCCCACAAAATGTCTTTAAAACGAAAGTGCTCCTCCGTCGAAGAAAAAATGCAAATTAATTATTCGGCGCCTGGAAGCCGGTGAGCCTATGAAAAACCCATAAAATAAACGAAAAAAATTGTTTTTTCCACCTTTCTGTTAGTGCGCCTTCCGGGTATAACGACGTAAAATCATCGGTCCCTTGAAAGTCGTTATAAACGGATTCTACTGTACTGATACAAACTACTAGTATACAAGTAAAAAAAAAATTATGTATACTTTTATTATCATGTAAATTACAATATTTTAGTAGTTGAAATGAGAATATCATTTAGTTGAATGTTTTTGTTATATTCTAATTTGATATTTTTAAAAACCGCTCAGTTTTGGGTGGACATAAAAGCGCGCCAATTTTATTGTTTCTTCTTTTAATCCCTTTTAATCCGTTTGCTTATAGCTGACATATACATAGAGCTCCTTGTTTGCTAAGATTTTTCCAAATTTCAATCATATATCAGCACTTATATTCAATGAAAGTTTATTTTCTGATTTAATAAAGCATAATATATAAGTACGATAAGTAATTGTGTTAAGTGGTGCAAAATAAAGGAAATTTTAGAAGTTCTTTAGTTTGGATCTGATCGATAAACTTCAGCATACATTTAGAAAGTTTATAATCGAGCTCGAAGAACTGAATTTTGACGAAATTGAAAGTAATTTAAGTGAGAATTTTGATGACATCCTCGTGACTCTTAAATCTTCAGAAGCTACAGCTTCTACGACATGTCTGAGGGACCGTGCGGCTGCTAAAGCTGGAATTGTTACAAAACGGATTTATTTTTCAGGCACACAATACTGAGATTGGGGTACTTGGATACTTGGATCCACTTGAAGAGTGGATCAGTTTTAATGCTTCGTGAACTGTCGGATAAATTTAACGGTCATATTCGCGCTCTAAGTGTAAGTAAATTGCCAAATGTAAGTAATGTAAGTAATTCTTCAGAAGCTGGATCCGGCGAGTCATGCGAAATGGGAGAAGCATTTGGAGGACCCAGACTTTAAGAATTCAATTGCAACGTGGGAACTCATGGCATAATTTCTGGAGAAGTGATGCAGACCTCTGGAGACTATGGATTTCGTCATGGCAAGATATGCGCCATGCGAAGTAATCGTACATCTGAACTACGTACTGAACTTCTGTGCACTCAATATATTACCCCGGCTAATCGATTTATAGAAGCAAAAAGACTGCCACATCATGCTGTCGAACCCGCTGCATTGCCTGTAACATTTGCTGCGCTTCTTGCTCAGGATCTTAGGATTTTGTGCTCCTAGCACAAGACCCAGATTTTCATTTTTCTCAACACAAAGATTTACTGATTGACGCCAGTGTCTTCTACGAACTGCTGTACTTCGGTCAGCATCTTCGGACTGCCGCTAATTCAACAAACTCAGTTAGGCTGGGTTGTTTCTGGAGGTTGCAGTCGCTCGGACGCCACGGTATGATTTCGGTATGAAGATGTTAAAAATTATAAGCCCGATAAATGTAAAAGTAAAAATTAACAGATTTCGCTGTCAATTTAATTGCGAATTATTTCCAAAAGTCGAACTAAGGCCTAAGTACATTATTTCTTAAAACGATAGGTACCGCGAGCTCAATATTTCCTGGTGGCCCGTTATGTTAAGGAGAGTTGTTGTTCTTCAAATGATGCTTCAAGTTTCGGAATGTAGAGTCGTTCACCTTTGTTTCTGTTCCTGTCACCGTTGTCTCTTGATTGTACCCGTCATTGATGACGATAACGCCGAAGTCGATAACCGTCATGGGCTCAAGGCGGCTCGGACAAGTAGTCCGAGTGCCTACCGAGTGAAGCTGTTGCGGACAGGTTATGTAGGGCCATTTCCTACAAAATGTAGTGAGGATAGTGCTGCAATTCCCAATCGATATTATTTTACTACCGCAGGCGGCTATGATGTTGCTGTTTTCCGCGAAATTCAGAATGGTGTTGTTGTGCTGGACAGTAAAATGAAAAAAGAATAATGAAATGAAAAAATTATTGTTTAATAAAGCATTAATTTGGGTTAATCCCATTAAGTCTGTAATATAAATATTTGTAGAGTGTCTACTGATTATATTTTGTAAATGGTTGGAGTCTAAAATGCGAGATTAATTATTCCAACTTTTGTTAGTGTGACGAATAAAATTAAGGCATCGAGTTGAGAAATGATAATCATATTTCTTGAAAGCAAGGTTTCGTATATGTATTATGTATTGATTTGTTTTTGCATTTTTTATTATTTTTATTTCTCATTCCAAAACTCGTCGAAATCGGGGGTACCCGCTACAAATTTTACCGCGATGCCCAACAAATTGATACAAATGTACATGCTAGAAATGTCCATGATGAACATTTACTGTTGCTATGGTGATGGTCTTTATATGTCGCAAGGCCGAGTCTAGCATCTGTTTCATATGTGACAGAGGAAAATGACTAAACACTAAACACTTGTACCGTTTCTTCTACTATTGCAGAGAAAGTGTTGAGGCTAGTAAATTGTTTTAAGTATTGAAAAGCCCTTCGAATATGTAATTTGAGCCAGTATTGTCAGTAATTTTAGCCGTTATTGGGATGGCGAGAAGGAATATTGTCAAAATCCTGGTGTAAGCATCCTTGTGGTGTCCTTGTGAAGCATCCTAATTTTAATTAAGACTGTGGTCCCCAAGGTAGCTTCCACTTTTTCCTCGATTCTTCTTCCGCTATTTCTTTGCTGTACAGGATCGTTAATTCAGCGAGTAATATCTGGTGAAAACCAGCCTTAAAATCTTAGGTGTGCCTTATCTAAGTTTTCTAAAATGAAAACCATATTGGGGATAGGGTATTTGTCGTCAGTAGTTTTTAAATTAAGTTTCCTATAATCTATTACCAAACGTTTTTTGGTATATATATATTTATCTACAAACCATATGGGGTTGTTATACTGTAACCGCGATGGTCGGATAATACGGTCTTTTAACATTGCTTGCGTTTCTGAGTTTACAAAATCGGAGACACCCATCGGGTATGGATAAAATTTTGAATATATAAGATGTCTTCGTTCTCGGTCCGGGCGATAGCAATGATATTGATATAGTATGCTAGAGCCTCATTTGGTTCTGCAAATACGCTTGTTTGGTTTCTTAGCATTGATGGAAAATTTTCCTTTATATCCTAGGGTACTTCTTCATCCGGGCAATTTGTAAAATTAACGTCCAAACAATTAAAGAATTTGATTATTTCAAAATCGTTGTTAGTTATGAGATTTTTTTTTTTCGATACGATTTTTCGAGTAAATCAAGTATAATTATTCCATCAAATGTTGTGAGATTTGATAATAAGAAACATGTCATATTTGTATTAAAGAGATGCATCACGAATTTTTTGTTTTGGTGAGGTAACCATGGATGAATTTATTTACGTGAATAATATTTTTTATTCCTTTTAATGTTTTAATATTGATTTCAGAAGCCCCGTGGTCTATCAAAAGTTATCTTTTTCGCTTTTTTTTTTTGGCGTATTTTGAGTTCATTAACAGAATTTTCTACTTCTACTGCTGAGAATTCGTTGTCTTGAATAGCCTGTGATTCTGACCAGCATGATTTCGGGCCATTTTTCATCACTGTTCCGCTGGTTTTGACCGGTGAACTGCGCTATCATGGTCTTAACCGTGGGGTTCACTCTCTCCGTCGGATTCTCCTGAGGGGTTAAACTGCTGCTTTATTCCCATATCGCCGAGAAACTTCTTGAACGCCCAGCTGGTAAACTGCACACCGTTGTCCGTAATAAACACTTTCGGAACGATAAACCTCGCGATTATGCATTCCCTAAATGCTTTCTGCAACGTTTCCGCCGTGGCTGTTCAGAAGGGTACCAACTCCGTCCTTTTCGAGAATCAGTCGATCCATACCAACAAGATACTGTTCTTATGCTTCGACCTCGGCAATGTTCCGACAAAATCGGCACAGTGGAATTAGCAAGTATTAGGAGGCTCATGAAAATTTTTCTGTGGCCGAATTCGACTTCTACTTCGAGCTGTGCACTGATCTCGCCACACATTCCACACATCTGCCTACTTAACTTTCCGACTTATCCTTGTAATCGATTCTCGGCCAGCCAGCTTGTCCGCCAGCTCTTCCCT